GTCCACACGCCACCGCACTGATGGCCACGGTCGCTGTCCAGTCGCTCCGGTCGGAAAGTTGTCCGTGCAGCCAAAGTCGGTCAAGTTGCCTAAACTTTGACCCCAGGGGACCTGAAGGACCCCTCATCGTCCCGTCCGGATACGGCCAAAAAGGCCAGAGCACGTTTCAAGTGGCGCGCCAGACGTTGGGTCCGCCCGGCGCAGCGCGCCACGACCCCCCTCCGTTATTGACGGGCACGTAGAGCGTGGACACACACACATCCAGCCAACTGTCGCGGGGGCGGGGCTGTCGGTATTATTGTTGAGGGGGTTTTGTTAAATATATGTTTCCACGTATTTACCCAGTATACCTGCAACGATAACACTGGCAAGGGGTAGCTCGATCGTAAGGGGTCAGAGGGTAAGGTAGAACACAAGGATCGCACTTAACTGGTGAACCACCAAAGCACTCACAAGTCCGGGATGATGCTTCTAGTCGAGAGCCGGGGACACGTCTGCCGTCGTGTCACGCCGCACGGGCGCGCGGGGCGCTCCCGTGACTAAAATGCTGGCGCATGCATTCGTCGCTTGTTCGTCTTTCCTAACCCGCTAATATTCAAACGGGTTACCCTGACATCTCCCCCCTTTGGAAGATGAGCGTCCCGATCATTGGTGAACGCTGGAAAATCGAATAAGCGACGTGGTTTTGATAAAAAGCAGATGATATGGAAAAATATTGAATTTAGTATTTTGCTTAATATGCTTCGCGTGAGAGTGCTCCAGTGGTTCGATTAACTTACCAATTTATTGCCTATGCCAACTGTCGCGGGGGCGGGGCAGGTATGCAGTCAGCCTGGTGGGTACGCAGGGAAGAGGACGAAACTCCACATTATTACTGATTGCGTGATTACGCTGGACTGCGCATCTTAATATTCGTAGTTAACCAAAACTGAAGAGAGGCGTTTAGGAATACTTTGTAATATCTGAGATAATAATCGTTATATGGTGGAGTTTCATGAAACTAGAAAACTAGTACAAGTTGGCGCAGGTGACTGCCTGCTAAGGGGGAGACACTTAGCGATCATAGCACCACAAACCCGATGAAATGGAACGCAGAGAGGCAAGAGGAGGAAATTTCCCAGACTCAACGGGAGCTTTTTCCTTTCCATTTTCCCCTCCCACTCCCCTTCAGAGTTATCAGAAGTAATCATGTCAAATTCAGTATCTCCAGAACTAGAATCTTTTTCTAGCATCTGACGAATTGCTTTCTTTGGTGCAGTTTTTTTCTTTTTTTATTCCTCTTCTCTTCAGCCTTCTTTTAAATTTCATTTT